ATGCAGCTGTTCGATCACAACCACATACATATGAAGAAAATCTGAATTTTGAGGAATCGCTTGAAGAAGTGATGTTTCGTACCTATCATCTGGCTTGAAGGGGTCAATGAAAGGGATTCGTAAATTGGCCTCATCGAAAACCGAAGGAGGGATGCCTTGGAGCTGAGTGTAGATTTGCACGAATAAGGCCTCGACATAGAGTACCGCGACCTCGATGAATCCGTGTTGGGCTCTTATCCGTCATATGAAAGACATTGTCAGAGCAGGAAACTATGCTTAAGGATAATTCGTTAAGCACGAAGACAACAAAGATGGCCAATAGCAATCCTACACAATTTGTATAGCTTGGTTGTTCAGTTAAAGAGACATCTCATGATTTGGTTGGCCCTTCTAGGATCAACATACATGCTTGCAGATATGTAAATGGATGTATTTATGACAAAAAAAAGCTTCACTCTCCTAAATTATTTGCATTCTTGATCCTGTTATTTTGACGCATGCAATTGCGTTGCACCGCGCGCGTGACGAAGCTAAATAAATCTCCTCTTCTTGCTCAGCGGTATTTATTGTTCCATTGCCACTCTCTCTCTCTCTCTAATCCTATCCAGCAGCTGCAGATAGTTACTGTTTATGAGATATATTCACCCGTCTTATTCCAAACGGTTCCTTTGTGAGCCGTGGTCAGGTTTGTCAGAGTCATGCTACAATGGGCAGAGGACTTATTCGCACGATTATAAATCCTAAGGCAAGCCGTATCCGGCATCAGGTGAGGCCACACGCCGTTTAAAACAACATAAAAGGTGTATTGACAATAAGAATTTTGCGAGTCTTTTTATTTTATCTTCTGTTATCGAAGTCTCCTTTTATTAAGATCAAAAGATCCCAAGGACTGGCAGGTAAATAAACCAGTAATTAGTTTTGGTTCGACCGTTTTATCGTAACTTGGTCAGAGCATGAGTGAAACCTTGCGGAACGTACCTAGTACCGTGTCCTCTGCCATAGTATTCGTGGTTTACAGCTTTGGACCATTGGCTGAGTACATTCCTAAACTTTCGCCGGCGTCGTAGTCGGCATCGTCAGTGAGAGGCGCCACCGTAAGCACAGAGTTGCAACTTATCAAAGTGACAAGTGCAGGCAATCCCCTTGACAAATTTTCTGTTGTGGCATCACTCGTTACCCCTATTTTTTGTTCTAACTCCTAGTGCCACATCTCTTTCTCTCAACCCCACTTCATATTGCCATCTATCTATTCACACATTTTGTTGTTCTCGTTTCTTTCAGTGCACCTAAGGATGTGCGTTACGAGTCGGTTTATTGAAGCATAATCATCTCTACCTCCGGTACCAGGTGCCGTATGCAGACATGGACATGGGCATCATCTACTCTAAATCCTCGAATATGGCGTAACGGGGAATGGAAATTGAAGGCTCTTAAGCAGCCAGATTTCAGACAGCCAAATCGTGATTTTGATAGTAGATAAGTAATTTTGATGTTAAGTAGCAGCCAATTGAGAAGCGGGTAGGGAAAAAATGGGGGGGGCAGAATGTAGGTAAGGAGCCCTGCAGACGGCATTTGGTACTGGTGGTGAAGGTGATTACGCTTCGCTAAACCCACTTGTAGCGACACATTCGTAGGTGGCACTAGAGGAAACGAAAACATAAAATAGTGTGAATAGATAGATGGAAATATGAAGTGGGGTTGAGAGAAAGAGATAAAGCATTAGAAGGTAGAACAACAAATTAGAGCAAGGAATGATGCCTCAATGGTTTATTAGAGAATTGGTCACTTATCCCTTTGATAAGTCGTAACTCTGTCCTTACGATGGCGCCTCTCACTGACGATGCCGGCGAAACGTCTGGAAATGTACCAAGTCAATGGTCCAATGCTGGAAATCAGGAATGCTATGACACAGAACACAGGACTAAGTACGTTACAGAAGGTCTCCCTGACGCTGCGACCAAGTTGTAAAAAAAAGTTCGAACTAACGCTATAAAGCTAGAGGAGACTAAGACCAAACAGAAGGCAACACCATCTTGCACTTCATATTTACAAACCAACAATTAGTTTCACTTAGCAATTTATTTAACACAAACTCCTCTAAAATCTACAGACTTTTGAGAGAGCACAGAAAAAGGTACAAATATTCATAAAATTATTCATAACACTGGGAAAAACTCCACTATCAGTACTGAAATCACATTATGCGAGCTAGGGTGACTAATCGAAGATATAAATATCAAGATTGTGTGGCCCTCGGTATGGTGGTGGTCTCCTTTGGATGTACAGAAATGGGTTGACCTTAGTTTTGTTGCCAGGGCATATAATTCACATCTTCAATTCATATAAAGTGCTTATTGGACATAACATCCAAGAATTCAAGCAATCAAGAATTACTGAGTCACGAAACATACACACTAGAAAGATAAGTAATGTTATCGATTGTGATAATAAATATGTTTGCGTCACCAAAAGTCCCCCTATAAAATGTGATTAAAAAAAGGCCTGGCCTATCTTGAAATTCACATCTGCGCTGTAACCCACCGACACCCATAGTTATGTAGCGGAGTTTTAAATTGCGACCCCACAATCAGGACAAGTCGGTTTTGAATCTTGTTGGGGAAACTGATGAGGTCTAGGTAAGATGAAAACTGCAGTCTAGTCTGGAAGAGAAAACGTCTTTTGAGGCACTGGGAAAAACTCCATTATCAGTACTTAAATCACATTATGCGAACTAGGGTGACTAATCGAAGATATGGATACCAAGATTGTGTGGCCCTCGGTATGGTCGCGGTCTTTTTTCGATGTAAATGAGTGGGTTTACCTCGTTTTCGCAACTTGGTCTTGTTGTCAGGGCAACTTAGTTGGACGCAACTTGTCAGAAGTCCTCTACCGTGACATAACGATGAGTAATAGCGTAACTGTTTCAGGAGAAAGTTTGGTCAGGGGTTTGACTTTACTTTTCTTTAACGCATTGTAGCTTGGTGTGGAGATTAGAAAGACTCACTGATGATGCCGACTACAATGCAGGCGAAACGTCTGAGAATGTACCAAGTCCACGGTCTGACGCTGGGAATTATGATGACTACGATAGCAGAGGACTTCGGAGAAGTTGCATCCAACTAAATCGCCCTGACAACAGGAGTAAGTTGCGAAAACGAGGTCAACCCACCTTTAGGGTGACTAAGTTTTGAAAATCTCTATACAGTTAGTCCGAATATAAAAATATTGAGTCTGCAGTGCCTAAGGTCATTTAAGACTTCCATTCATTGTCATCATAAAAGTGCTAAAAAATATATAATTATTGCATAGTGAATAGAATTTAGAGTTAGGCAGAAGAATAAGATATAAGTGAAAATCCTGATTTACATTTCAGCACATCTGTGGCGCATCTTTCTGAAAATACATGCTTTATAAGAGATAACTACTAACTCTACTAATATTTACTTCCAGCAGATTATTCTTTAAAAGCCGAACCTACACTGTAGAGGTATCTGTAATCTGCATTAGCCGGTCCACCAGAACCAAACTGGGCTCGAGCTCTTCACCGGCTCCGGCTGCTTCCTGATCGGCCATATGGTTACGTTTTGTGCGGCCAGGATGCTGTGGTGGTAACTCGTAGAGTCCGATCAGGCTGCTTGGCCAGGAGTGGAGAAGATATGGGTTGAAATCGGGTGCATCATTTGTTGATTTGGAAATGATGGGGGTTGATTGCAAAGTAGATGCATCAGCTTGGTCAGTTGGGTTCGAGAATGCGGGAATAAAAGGGGAAACAAAGGGGCTAGGGGGCAAGGAGCATAGGCAGGATGAAGATCGGCAAATGTCATTGGATGGACTGGTAGAATGTCGAGGTCCAGTTAACATAAAACCTTCGCCAGCGCGCCGAGTATTCCGCAAGTGAATGGTTGATTCAGAGGCAGTACGGATAGCATAAAGGGGTGCTGAGACTGATTTGCCTATGTGAAGGGCAGGACTATATCATTAAGAATGAAACAGAAATAGTGGAGACAAGAAAAAAGAAAATGAAAAAGGTAAAGATAGTTATAAGGATAAAACAAGGCTTAAACAATGTAATTTGGAATTCAAAAGACTATGATGAGATAATAATGAATTAAAGGTATGAAGACCAAGATTGTGTGACCTTTTGTGTGGTCGCAGTCTCCTTTCGTTGTATAGAAGTTGTTTGACCTTGTTTTCGCAACTTGGTCATTTTGGTAGGAAGACTTATAGAAACGCACCTGGTCCGGAGTCCATTGTATGCATCATCATTTCCAGAGTAGGACCGTGGACGTAGTAGGAAGACTTAAAGGAACACACCTAGTCCGGAGTCCATAGTATGCATCATCATTTCCAGAGTAGGACTGTGGACGTGGTACATTCCCAGTTAGGAAGACTGATAGAAACGCACCTTGTCCTGAGTCCATTGTATGCATAATTATATCCAGAGTCGGACCGTGAAGGAAGACTTATAGGAACGCATCTAGTACGGAGTCCATTGTATGCATCATCATTTCCAGAGTAGGACCGCGGACGTGGTACATTCCCAGACGCTTTGTCGGCATTGTAGGGAAGATTGCCATTTTTAACACCACACTAAAACTCGTCAAAGAGACAAGAGAAGTCGATCCTTTAACCAATTGTCTGCTAAACAATCGTGATATCTCTCCTGCCAGCCTGGGCTAATCATCAATCCTATATCCTTCACTATCACAATTTTTACTTGCTTATTTAAATGTGGTATGACGTGCCCTTTTAAGCGGCTTTCATGAGAGCTCTCCACACTCCACTCTAGCTTTCTCACCCCTCTCACCCCCCTTCATCTTTGTGCCGGGAATGATCATGAGAGTTTGCCCTATTGTTACGCAGTCCTCCTTCTCTAGGTATTATCAGAGTTTCCTTCTAGCCCCGTAGGACCCGTCTGCTATCTCCCTGGTTCAAGTATTTCACTTCACCCCTGCCACCCCATCTGTGCTACTC